TTTGTCACTGAAGCTGACTCCAGTTTCGATGTTCCCCCACCGACATCCATTGAGTTGCTGAAGAGACTTTTCGTTAGATTGCTTCCACTGACTACTCGTCATCAATTGACTCCTGGAGATGTCTTTAGAATCGGCAATTTAGAATTTTCTGCTCTTAGGTAATCAATTCTCTATTATCATTGATTATCATCTACTATCATCCATTATCATTGATTGTGTGATTTTGTCATCTGTAGATTCAATACTGGCGTAGGTGGACATCAAGGCTTCAGAAACTCAATGGAAGATGAAGAGCTTGTAATCCAAGATATGTTCAACTTAGGGGACGGATTAGAGTGTTCATGTTTTGCTGTATATGATGGGGTGAGTCAGTTTCGACGTATACAACGCGTCATCTTCTATGTAGCCACGGAGGGCGGCAATGTGCGGAATTCATTCATCGACGTCTTCATCATTCCTTCCGAAGACAGCTTTTCCTACTCACGGGACGTCTAGGACTTTCTGAAAATGTCCATCGTTCGGTGTATGACGCACTGTTTCGCTCCTTCATCCAAACAGATCGCCAATTTCTTCGCCGACAGGAGCAACAGAATCGAAGGAGTGGCCCTGGGCTGTGCTGCAATCGTGATTGTTATCATCGGGGATGTTATTTGGGCCGCAAATTGTGGAGATGCTCGTGCTGTATTGTGTCGAAATGGAAGGGCATTGGCACTTTCTTCCGACCATAAACCTGTACGCCAATGGAAAAACTTTTGCACTATGGAACGCTTCTATGTTGCCAGGCCCGCGATGATGAAATTCGCCGTATCGAGGGTGCGGGAGGATTCGTCAAAATCCCGTCGCGTTTTTGGGACGACTCGCAGTGTCGCGAGCGTTGGGAGACATCGAATACAAGAACGTCGCGACGGGGGAAGCCTCCACTTGTCGTCGGTGATCCTGAAATTCGTATGGAACGACTCACCCCAGCGGATGAGTTCCTGCTATTGGCCTGTGACGGCCTCTTCGACGTTTTCTCAAGCCAAGATGCGACAAATTTCGTGAGATCGCGTTTGGCCCAAATGCCACCTGGCGAACAGGTAGACAGAAATATGCATCACAAATCAGTGACCTTTGAATCTCTCAGGAGCCTCAACGAGTTGTAGAAGAACTCATCAGAGAGGCTATCGAATTGAGGCGAAGCAGGGTAAACGATAACATCATTTGTGGGATTCTACCACTTGTCGTATGTGGGATTCTACCATATGCATATGGGATTCTATCATTTGTATGTGGGGATTCTTTCATTTGTATGTGGGATTCTTTCATTTGTATGTGGGATTCTTTCATTTGTATGTGGGATTCTTTCATTTGTATGTGGGATTCTTTCATTTGTATGTGGGATTCAGTATGCTGTATGCCGTTAATCTTCAGGGATAATGTCACCGCAATACTGGTAACGTTCAAACGTCACACAAGAGCAGCTGTTGGCATTTATCCATCTAGAAGTTCATAGAAATCCACAGACTTCAAATTTTTTACAACTGTATGTGTCGCGTGTCTTATGTCTTTTTTTTTGGCGTGAATAGACGAACTCTACGAACCACTTCTGGTTTCCTAGAATGAATGGGATCACGAAAGGAAAGACCCATGCGCTATTAAGTCCAGCCTACGAGCTTCGAGTGCGTTCAAAACCCTTTGAGGCTCGAGTGCAGTTCTGTCTTCTGTAGTACGATTTTCCTCTGGTTCCATGGTATCGAGCAAGGCAAGTCATCACCGGTGGATTCGAAAAAACGAACACCCCGCCCGAGGGACAGGAAGGGAAGGGTGAGCAGGACGCATCGTGAGCTGCCGAATCCCTGCCTCAAAATTCTGTAAGCTGCTTGTGGGAAGTTTTAACTCCTTTTTCATTCCAGCTCAGACTACAACACTTGCAGACACAAGCATTCTCATACTGATCAATACCACGCTTCTAAGTTGAGGGTCATTGGGCTTCTCTGTTTCTAATGCCCCTTCTAGAGTGTTTCCATTAGGCGAGGACGAATTAGCCGAATCTGGAAAGTTTCTTTCAGTACCAGCCTATAGAAAACCTGAAGGAAACAAGTGCCTGTCACACGACAATCCCTACTTTGTTTATCGAAACAAGGATTGGGAGGCTGAATTAAGTTGTCAAGATTTGCTTCAAAATCTGAACGCTTGCTCGAAGAAGTATCAAGACGTAAGGACACGCTAATAAACATTGATGGACGCTCCGATCAGGGCGTTCAGGGCGAAAAGACAAAATCTCACCTGATGTGAAGACGATGCTTCAACCGTAAGATGAAACCGTTGAGGCGCAAATAATTCAATTTCCTGATCAGTTTCAAATTGTTCCACGAGGGTCGTATTGGGCAGGATCTACATCATCATGGTGCTCAATCCTGGAAAGTGTTTAGTCATGGCCGTGGGTAAGAGAATAACAGTTTGTCTGCTTCAGTGGTTCTTGCTTGCAGCTCGGCAGGTGGATATTTCGAATAACCGAGGGAAAATACCATTCTAGAATTCCCACACGGAATGTCAGTTTTTGTGGCATCTTAGTCTATAAGTGCTACAAAAACGCGATTTGAATTGTCATAAACCAATTTGATGTTGGCCGAATACACTGTAGCAGCTAGGTGCTTGTTTGAGTAACTGACGGAGCAAGACACCAAGGACCACGATCTACTGGAAAGCAATCGCCTGACATCACGCTGGCGTCGGATTGATCGATGAGGTCTGGAAACAGTACAAGAGATTCTTCAGTATTAGGATCCATCGAGTTAATTATGCCACCAGGACAAACGTTCCATTGTGAGGATGAAAAAAATGGCAAACGTTCAGGGTCAACAAAATCAGAAGATGACTCTTGAGTCTTTTTCTAAGTTCCCAGCTTCCGTCCTCGGCCGCCAAACGGGGACGAACTCTGAAATCGAAGACAGTGACTGGGAGTGACGAGGCCCTAATACATTGGATACTTTATACTTTGAATACCTTGAGGAGTCGCTGTTGTCGATCCAGTTAGCATACTCATCACACCGGATGACGCACCATCATCACCTCTTGAAATCAAGGAATGCTGAGATGCTTGTAGGTAAAGAGGAGCTTCTAGCATTTCCTGGTTGACAAAACTGCAGATGGATACACATATGAATGAGTAACCTTAAACATTTTCCAACTGCAATACGCAATGAAGCATGTAATAGCAACACCGGCCGCGTTCAGTAGAATATCAATGAGCTTCCAGTACGATCCAGTTTCTATCAATGCACTGATACTGATGACGACAAAGATGAAAAGATCATGAAAAGATCATGAAAAGATAGCACTGGAACTTGCCTCATCCCTAGTTCAACCCCAACCAGTATGGCACCAATGACGGTCACACAAAAGAAAGTTTGCTACAATTGGTGCAATTCAGGGGAGATGCGGGGTCTATCTTCTCACCATATAATTTGGTTTGAAGCTATTGGGATCCCAGATTGAATACCTGTGAAACCGGCTTGAGAAATGAACATAGGTAACGACTTACATTGCGATTCCTATGGTTAAGATGAAGACGATAGACCTAAAAATCAGAAGGCAGCAATTGAAGAGCGAGTTTATCCCGCTTACATGAAATATCCTCGCAGTAGAAGCAGAACAAACACTGTTCCCTGAACCATGAGGGCGATCTTTAGAGTTTCAGCTTTTTTCTGAAAAGGGGAGATCAATGGAAGTGTCTGCTACCTGAAGGAAAGCATTCATCCGAGATTCACCTTTAAATTTGCTGTGGGAGCGACCCCGGTAGCTACTCGTTCTTCTGGTGGATACATTCTTGATCTCAGATGATATTTCTAATTATTTATTTTCTCATTTTTAAAAAATGTTGTGTCTGGTCACCTACTGGAAATCCTGCGCCTCTCCATATAGAGTCGTCTCAAAATGGGCCTCCTTGCCGTGCCTCAACTCTTGCTGATTGGTACGACCCCTTCTTCTTAAAATCTTGGGTCATGTCAGCAGCAAAAACTCCCTTTCGCACAACACTTAGTACAATCGGCCAAGTTGTGTCTGGGAGACGGCGTCAGGGTGAAACTCCGGTAATGAGTCCGTCGCATCAAGATGAAGGTTCCAAGAGTGTGAGAGAGTTCGAAAGGGAATCCCATTCAGTTCGGCCGGCGTTGCGGTCAGCATTGCAAAGCCGGCTTGTTTTTGAACCGGCCTTCCAATCGTTAACGAATGAGATCTTGGGGGGGCACTCCGATTTTCCAATCATTGCTGTAGATGAACTTTTTTCAACAACTTTGGGATTCTGGTGTTCCGCTGAATTCGAAATGTTTGGGACTGGAGGTTTGTTTTTCTATCCGCATCGTTTCCGTCATCGTTCTTTCTCTCAGCTATTAGATGCGTTGGTTGTACTCGACGTTCGTTGCTTGAATACGGTCGTGGCAACCCAATCAGGACTCGATCTTCTTACGAATCTAGGGTCTTCAGCGAAGGTGAGATTTGATCAGTCTCGATAATGCGGATCTTTTTCTGTTCTAGATGTCCAACATTTATGAATCCTTCCCCATTTGTCTTCCGAATGGAACTTCAGAGGGGGAGGCGCGGCAGTTAGCTTCGACAGCTGAGCGCGTTCTCAGGCATTGGGTATGTGTATCTACAAGTGATGAAAGAGTAGAAGATATTTTCATATCACAGATTGCTTTTATAGATGAGTGTTTCTTTTGTGTCTTCTGTGTTCAGGAGAGTTTTTGTGAAAGACTCTGCGGATTCTCTTCCGTCCCAAGCTTACCGTTTGGGTTGAAGCCTCACGGTCAATGCGTCATCGCTCATCGCCAGGTTTGTGATAAATATATAATGATAGATATATGATGATAAATATATAATGATAATGGAACTGATGGATTTCTCATTTCTAGGGATGGATGACCGTGTTGACCCTCTAGTGAGTCCCAAACTCTCAAATATTTTCGCAATTTCCACTCTGGCAGGGAGGGGCGCGTCGCTGAACCACTTCCTTCCACAAATCTTGTAAAAAACAGTCTCCGTCCCAGTCCTTTCAGCACCGCGTCGCTCGACATGTAAGCGCGCATTTTGCCACCTCATTCATCCTACTGATGTTTTCACCAGCTCTTACGCGTGCGCCATCGCTCACACGCTCGATGCAGTCTCAACGCCAGCCTGTCCCAAGGCCTCCCCCTCTACCCCATGATGTCCCAAAAATCGAGGAGCAGCTCGCCTCCGTATTTTCCCTTATTGAGTTGATGCGGGAGACAATTCGTCAAGCCCAAGGTCCCTCAGCGAAGGGAATGGTTGAAGACCTTCTGACCCAGGGGGGAGAAGTGCGTCTCATAAATGTGTCTCTACAACAGATTTCTCTGTTCAGAGAACGTCAAGGTTTGATCGAGAGTATGGGACGCGCCGCCAACTCGACCGATTATGTTTTGTTTGATCAAGTTCAAAAAGTAAGATGTTCAGGTACTCGAGTCTCCAATTGATGGAATTGTAGGTTGAAGCTGATTTAAAAAATGCGATGGATAGCGCAACTGGTTGGTTGCAAGCAAATTCCCAACCCCCGATAGTGGAGCAGCACTCCTCACGTCAACCATCATTCTCATCAAGTATGAAGAATCAGCGTCGTTATGGACACGTTTCGTCTTGTCCAAACTTGCTTTTATAATTTTTTGATTTTCAGGTCAACAGCCTCCAATTCAACCTCTTCGTGTTTTCTCCGTTGGCACCGCAACAATCATCAAAAGATCTTTCTCCAATCGCAGCATCAACTGGAAGAAGAAAAAAAAAGAAAGTCTGCGTCACCATCCGGGAAGACACGTTCAGAGGATCCCGCCCGTGTCTCATTTGAAGACCCTTCGCCTCGTTTTGCCCAACCCCCTGTTTCAAGTGAGATGGGATTCCTCTCATGGGTGCCCAGCCTTTTTTCCTTAGCGGACTTTTCGAACGCCTTCCCCCCCGACCCTTTTGCCTCGCGTCCCGTCTCTCCTTCGTGGCCCCCCCTCTGCCACGGAGGCACCTCCAACCCCCATCGCTCCTGGTACTCAGAATTCCACTCATATTTTTTGTCTCTTCTCGAGACGGATCAATTTCAGCGTTTTTTTCTTTCAGTTTCCAACGGACGACGCCTTCTTCTCTGAAGCAACTTGGGACGTCA